GCAAACTGGCAGAGTCTGCTGTGTGGGACCACTGCCATGGTTGCTTATATAATCCAGGCTTATTATTTATAGCAATTAGATTTCCGTGGTTTTAATTAAAGGCTGCTCAGGTGATATCGGATGGCTTTACTGCTGGTTTCACATGCACAGGTGAGATGATTTTGAGGCCAGAGAAATGGAATGGAGGCTGGGGAGGAGATAGGATGTCTTTTCTTAAAGGCATATTAGAATCTAAATCCAGAAACCACTTGTCAGCCTTCTGTGAGAGGATTCAATTACAGAAATGCTTTATGAACTGAATGACCTGCTTATACATCTTGGAGAAAATCAGGGCTCATCTTGTGGAGAAAGATAGTAGAATAGACAAGTTGTTTTATACTGTACAGTATTACACTCTACCAGTCTGGAAATAATTACCTTTAAGATCAAGCTATAGCTACACAGGAGCGTTGCTAACTGCTTTTAGAGAAGTGCAAAGAAACACTCGCACTACAAATACAGAAGCTTGTAATAATGATGAAACAGCAGTACTGTGAAGTAAATCATTTTTTAATGATAAAATTATCTTTCACCACAGACAGAATGGAAGGTATTTCACTTGTACTGAGTAAGGCAGCAGGTGTTTCTGAGGGCATTATACTTTTGCTTATCTGTTTTACATGACTGTAGCTCAGTACAGATATTGGGAATTGACTGGCATAACAAATATTGATCAAAAATGACTAATCTTATCTAGAGATTGCACCCAGTTTAATCAGAAGTACTGTACATATGAAGACAGCCAAAGGCAATAAAGACCCCAGAGCACTACTGCTGAGCTTGTTGCTACTCAGAGACATCATTCAAACACTTTGAATCTCTTCTGCGCTGGCCAGCTTGGTTGGAAAGTGAGTGTGTGTGGAGAATTTTTAGATTTCTCTCACTGAGACAACAGGGAACCGAGAAAAAGTAAAGTAAGAATTTGGCTGCCTTTCGCTGGCAACTGTGTGCTTGATTGCAGTTCCTAAGACAAACGCTTTGCCAGAAATCCATCAGCTTGCCACTTAAAAGTCGATATTTGCAAACATGATATGAAATATAAAAGCCTTTTATATTTTATATAAATGACATTTTGTCTATGATTTTTCACACTTGTGTTTTTGTTTCATATAAAAAAATAAAAAACTGTCTCACGTTCAATATGATCCAGGTCTTTGCAGTTACTGTGTATCATTACTCTGTTGTTAAATATTCGTTTTCATTGTGTGTTGTGGTGGTGCATCTGTGCACTCCAGGATAATGTGGGTGTTTTTTTCAGACCCTGTAATGAAAGTCTTTTAAATCTGCGAAACCTTAAACATTCCCTTTCATTTTCACCCAAACTCCAAAGACATCCTGTCTTCCCTTTGAAAACTGATCACTTAATAATTGTTTTATCTGCTGCGATTGTTGCTTACCTGTAAAAGTGGTGGCTACAGCGGCCAAGCCAAAGAGGAAACTCCCGTGCTCAGATTATTTATTGCCCTAAATTAAGTGTCACTGGCCAATCACATGACCAAGAGTTGTTGCCATGATGATTCTGTTGCAAGCGTAGTGTGGTTTCACTGAAGGTACAGAGCAATCCTGATACAACAAAATAAGAACGTTCATAAATGAGAGGAGGCCATTCAGTGCTTGTTAGATGTTTGGTTGTTAGTAGCTACTTAATCCAATAATCTCATCCAGCCAGTTCTTGGAAGAAGCCAGGGTATCGGATTCAACAACATGGCTGGGTAGTTTGTTTCACACTCCCACCCCCTCTGTATGAAGAAGTTCTTCCTGCTTTCTGCTCTAGTTTCCTTCTGTGTCCTCTGGTTTGTGTTTTACTGCTAAATTGCAATTAAATTCATAAGGTTGACTTTGTTAGTCTCCTTAAATATTATGAATACCCTCATTCTCTTCTCTGTTTAAGACAAAAAAGGTTTAGACTGATTTAGGCAGGGCAGAACTGAGAGAGATAAACGTCTGTACTCTGAATCTGATTTCATCCACCAATAGAATCGAATATTGTTCAGTACAGGTAATTTGAATCTGGTGATAATGTAAATATCCAGTCTTGATAACCCAGTTTTGCTTGCCTTTAAAGTTTGATCATTAAAACGATTGATGTTAACTTTTATAGTTTTAGAACAAGCTGGACCAATCCTGTTAGAAGGTGTTTACCTTCATGCAGCTTGTGGCCTACAGATTCTGGACTGTTATCAGTTTCCAAATAAGACTGCGTGTGATAGGGCACTCCACTACAGTACACCAAATGCCATAAGTGATACAAACTGTCTGTTTTTAATGTCTATTATGTCTCATAATATACTTTTATACTCTGGACAGGTTTAATGCCTAAATTTCTATCTTAAAATAGTTTGGAAATGACTTTAAATTGTATATAAAATTCTTCATGTTTTGTATAGATGAGATTCTTTTGTATAAAAAAAAATATATTTTTCTATGTTTTAAATGAAAAAAAAATTCCCATTGCATAAGTAAAACTATCTTTTGGATATAACGATAATTGAGATCTAATGTAAACCACATCATATAGAAAAGATCCGATGTTTATCTTATAAAATTATTATTATTCTTCATGCTTACATAGTGCTTTTCTGGACACTCAAAACACTTTATACTGTAGGTAATGGGGACTCCCCTCCACCTAAAATGGATTCAAGATGCCAAAAAGAATAATAGATACATGTACATTTACAATGCTCAACTTCACAGTAATAGCCAAGAATTGTAAAGCTAAATCATATACAGTCGATGTACACACTGCTTAACTGGTTACATAAATTAAATATTTACCCCTACTATATATAAAGTGCAGATTTTCCAAACAAGTGCTGCACTATGGTGACTAGGAACAATGTGCATAGGTGCGGTCCTTTAAATGAGACTCTAAATTAAAATAGAAACGACTTGGTAATTAAAGATCACGTGGCATTGTGTGTAAGAGTAATGGCATTAAGCTCAATGCCCTTACTAAATTCTCTTGGAGCTTAAACAATCTGGCTTCCCCAAAATTGCCCTGTAATTCAAGTGGTGAAGCAGTACTTTCACTTCTCCACCTGACCTGCTGTGTACTGGGGCTGTTGGTGTAGAATGGCTGCCATGTGTCATTTAAGAGTGTACTGGACTGCAGTGGTGGGTGAAATGTGTCTCTTCCTATATGTACAGAACTTTGGGATCCTTTTATTATAATAATAATAATAATAATAATAATTGCTTACACTTATATAGCGCTTTTCTGGATACTCCACTCAAAGTGCTTTACAGGTAATGGGGACTCCCCTCCACCACCACCAATGTGCAGCATCCACCTGGATGATGCGACGGCAGCCATAGGGGACCAGAACGCTCACCTTTGAGCCTTTGTGATAGAAAGTGCTATATGGATACAATCATTGAGTTAATTAGTTTTACAATACAGTAAACTCCCTTTGCACACACAGTGCTGCCATCACACATGCCAGGAACTGTCCCCATCAGTGTCTCAATGTCTTTAAAAAGGGGATGGCTTTCTATTCAGGTATGCAGAGGTCGCTGTAATGTGTGGATCAAAATGAAAGATTAACAATATTGCTCTCTTCTACGGTGCCTTTGAAAATGTGTTGCTTATTTGACCCTTGGTGTACATACATAGCATATGAAATACATATATATTATTAGATATGATTCTTAAGATAGTCTTAAAAGGAGATTAGGAGAGTAGGAGATTATTATTTACTCTCCTCCCCAAAGACGGTAGACTTCTGAGAAGCAGCTGAGCTGCTGAGAAGGCAGGATTTAATGTAAATATCTGGACATGACAATAGCAGAGGTATTTGCCAATTCAATGCAGTTCATGGCGAAAATGGATCAATCACGTGATCTGGTGTCACATTCCGGCTGCTCTGGCACATTCCTAGATAAAGAAAGTGTTTTCCATGCAAATGGTTTCCATATGGGTCATTATAGCTGTCAGATTCAAATATACATATAAATCTATTTATTACTCTGCTAAATGAGACTTAACTGACTTTTACAGCCACAGTGCAGATTGCGCAGTGATTGGCACCAGTGGATGGATGGCAGATTCAAAAAGTACTGAATTCCCACTGCCAACACAAAACCTCTCTTATCTTAAGCAGGTTTGAGGAGGACAGGCATTTGGCAGCAGGACAGTGTTGTGTGCCACTAACTACATGGATCAGCTTGGCTCTAGGCCAGTTAAGAACTACTTCCTTGCTTAAAGTGAAAACTACACTTTTCACAGACAAGACAAGCAGATAGGCATGGCATGTAAAGAACAAATTCCTGCAAGATTAACAAGCCTGTATGTTGAGGGGTGTTCTAAATACTTTTTATGATATAGCGTTTTGGCATTAATATGAATTAACAAACAGAATATATGTGTGGCAGATAAATGTGATTTTGACCCTTAGCACATCCTTTCTGCCAAGGTTGCCAAAGCCTTCTGCATCAAAGGCAGCATTAAATCAAATAATTCTGTTTATCCAGTTCTATTCCCTGTTGCTGCATACACAAATCTAGCCACGCGATCTTAGATTAACATTTTTCAAACTGTGCCATCTCTCAGAGGCAATTTCAGAGCCAAGAATTCTCAGTTATGTTTTTAAGTATACAGTGAATCTGCCTGGCACTTGTCTTGGAAAACCGTTTCAATACCAATACTTGCTGTCCCCTAAGTTGAGGTGTTTTAGTACAGCTACACCCCTTACTAAACGATTAATAATCAAGTTAATAAGCTAATCAAACAATTAACTATTTGTACTAACACCTTCAGAAGGAATGGCTTAGAATGGCTGGAACGTGGATGCCCCTGTTTTAGCCTCATTAAAAGATGCATGAGAGTCATTTTACTTTATCCTCTGAAGGGGCTTGCTGCTTTTCCAAATGAATGCTCAAGTGGACGCAGTGCACCACATAATACATTGTGTTCCTGTGTCCTGTGTGTTGATGGCTCTTTCTTTGTTCTTCTTCTGCAGATATTGATGAGTGCTCTTTTGATAGAGCATGTGATCATTCCTGCGTCAATTCCCCTGGCAGCTTTCAGTGCTTCTGCCACAAGGGCTACGTGCTGTATGGACTGGCCCACTGCGGAGGTAGGCCACCTGAACTATTTCATCTGATTGTCTTAAAGTTAATACAAGAGGACACAACACAGGCCGAAACAAGACACTAGTTTTCACTGATTAAAATTTCTGATTCTTTGATCGTATATCAGTGTGGAAATCTCTTTGCAGTCTGAAGCAGCCCCTGAAGGCTTTTTAGATTGGACAGGAAGAAATAAAAGTTAGCTTCTTTATAACTGGCAATAGAACTTACCTAAAAGCTCACTTATCTTCCTATCAAACAAGAAAGTGTAGTATTTCTAAAAAAGGTCTCTTAGAAATACTACACTCCACTAAAATACACTGCACCTAGAGAAATTCATATGTAGACTCTTTGCACTGAGAGAAATGCACTGTTGCAGGCACATACAAACTGAGAGAAATGTATTGCTACTGGCACATACAGACTCTCTACACTAAGAGAAATGTACTGCTACTGGCACATACAGACTCTCTGCACTGAGAGAAATGCACTGCTCCCAGCACATACAGACTCTCTGCACTGAGAGAAATGCACTGCTCCCGGCACATACAGACTCTCTGCACTGAGAGAAATGCACTGCTCCCGGCACATACAGACTCTTTCCTCACTTTTCCATTGTCCTCACTTCAATTCAAGAGCAGTACATACCCAATGAGCAGAAATACTCGCTGTGGTTTTGTCCTTCTGAAATCTCATGAAGCCACTGTAACTCCAATGACAAGATAGCTTTCTTATTGCTTCCTAAGGGGTCTCCATGATTTCCACAAGAGATTTTTTATTAAGGGAATATTAAGATTACACAATCGATGGATTGGATTATTTTAGGGAATTATCATTATCATTATAATATAAATGTTTTTCCCTTCTAAAACATCTATCAAATGAATTGATTACATTCAGTATAGTTCTTTATTGCAAATATGAAAGTGACTATATATTTGTGGAAAATTGCCAAGGGCTTAGAGTGTTTCAAATGAATCCTAGCAGATCAGTTCAAAATGTGATCATTAATTCTGTGTGAGCTAATCTCTTGAGAATCTCTGCGTGGCCAATCCCAGTTGTAGTACAGGATCATGTAGAGACAGTCAGGCTGCTTTTCACACTCCCCAAGTGTTTTCAGCACCGCTGCAGTCTTACTGAGGTCGTACGGGGCGATCCCTTTGTTTATCTAACGCCAGAGACTCTGGAGTCAGAGTGCCCATTTTTCACAAGAAGAGCAGTGTAGAAAAAATAAACTCCTGGGCCCTTCCTCTCAATGTGTGCAAGAGTGGAGCGTCATAAATCCTGCTGGCTATCTGAGAGTTCCGACAGAGCAGACAATCTTGGGGGAGCAGGGTCTATCATTCATCACCATTGCTCTTAACAATGGGCAACCCGCCTGTCCTCACACTCCTTCCTGACTCCTGACTCTCTTATACATACACACTCTAACGAGCATGTATACATGCAGTGACACACAGGGGCACAGAAATCTCAGATCTTTGCTGCTGTACACTGACACTGCTCCTGAGTGATACGTGTGGATCTCTTCAGAGCCCTGTAATATTCAGCCGAGCAGCCCTAACTAAATAATAAACCACTGAGACTCTACACTGGGTGGACCACTTTCAGTGCTGTGTACGCATGTGACACTTGTGGATTAATTTAGGAATGTGGCTTCACACTCTAACGAATATATACTGTATGCAGTCTTGAAGAAGGCAATAGGAGTAAGGTTTTGCATTGTGCATCTTGAGAAAACTGAACATTAGCTCCTAACAAAAGTGAAAAAGTACAAAGGAAAATTGCTGAGGGAACATATTCAGTTAATGTAAGGAACCAAGCAGTAGTGAAGCTGTTTGTCATGTAGTGATACAATTAAGCTAGCTGTGGGACAATTTCAGTACTTAATAGCCCAACCAATTTACCCGTGGTGGAATGTGATTTTTGTTCAGAGAGCCTATTCAGTCGCTTCACTACATGGTTACTGTTGGCACGGTTATTATATATATATATAATACATATATCACCTACAATTAACAATTCATACTTGATCAGTATCATTATTGCATATCCTGCAGCTAAGTTAAGGTAGAACAATATGCTGTTCAATAATCTGCAAATACCCATTAGTCATACCTTTTATCTCCCAACACAAACTTAACCTTGCAGTTATTTTTATTTATTTTTGGCACAAAGGTGCAGTGGTTAACACTGCTGCCTCACAGCATGGGGCCCTAGGTTCAATTCCAGACTCTCTGTGTGGAGTTCATATGTTCTCCCTATGTTCACATTGGTTTCTTGGTGCTCTGGTTTCTTCCCACAGTCCAGACTGGTAGGTTAATTGGCACCTTGGAAAATTGGCCTCACATGTGAGGGTGTGCGTGTCTGTGTGTCTGCCCTGCGACAGACTGGTGTCCCATTCAGGGTGTATCCTGCCTTGCACCCCTTGCTTGAAGGGTTAGGCTTCGGGTCCTCTGTGGCCCTGAATTGGGAGTGCATAGAAAATGGACGGATGGAAACGTTTTATATTTGCAAAGTTAAGAAATACTCTGTAAGCTGTAGTTTTAGTTCTCACTGTAGTCCTAGAAGGTTTATCACAGCTTTAGCAACAGCCATTTCAGTGGAATTGTGTTGAGATACTGTATCTTTGTCTGACTGGGGACTCAGCCTATCCCTGCTCAGTGGGAGCTTGAGCCATAGATACAGACAAGACTCTCATTGCATAGCATTTTGAGCCATTTCTGTTTTTGACAACCTGCAGATATCTATAAATCAGTCTACATCAGGTTCTTGGAATTTGTTCACAAGGAACAGAAGAGAATTGAATTGATCGATGTGCATTGACACCTATTGAAACATTTTACTGCAAGTTTCTAGTTTATTTTCCTACTTTGTGAGACTTGGATGAATGCCTGTGACATAAACAAAAAAGCAACTGCATGAAATAATTGAGGTATACCGTTAATTCAGGGGGTAAGTGTGTGTGCCAGATTCAGTTTTTTGTCTCTGCCCAGAATGTTCCACCGTAAAGATGAATTATAGGCCCTTCGGAGCACTCAGAAACATGGCATGGAAGACAGAGCATGTTAAAGGTGTGAGCTCCGGGGCATTCAGGCACGAGCACAGCAAAACAACGCAATTATTGGCAGACAGGCTCATTTTTTAAGCCCATAGAGCACTTTATTCTTTACCAAAATAACAAATACATTTCAGATTGTTGTAAATCACTGTGTTGGGCTTATTGATGTAATGATGTTACTGCACAAGTTAAGTGTAATAATAGTGACTGGTGATCAGACCTTGAATGTAGCAGGATTCCATGTTAATGGCATTCCAAATTCCCCTTTTCTTGTAGAAATATGACAGGAGTTTACGTACCATACTGTCAGTGAGAAATCAACACTCCTATTCTCTTAGCCCAAATGTCTTCCAAGTGAGTTCAGGGGCTGATGAACTACTAGATTAGCTCTATTAAATAAGAGCTTGTATGGCCTGCGTGTGGCTTAGTTGTCAGTATAAAAGGAGGCTATAATTTACTGAAGTGGTTTCCCAGACTGGGACCAAGTGTACTCAGTGGGTTGAAATGTACTTCCATTCCTGTTTCAGAAGCTTCAAACACATGTGACAGGATCTGGCTAGGATTTCAGCTGAATACCCAGCTCACTAATGAAAACAATCACATTATGAAGTGTGTGCATTGATGGATATCAAAATAATTGTCTCCTCAAGAAAAACCCTTTATTAAATGATACTTGGACGCCATCCTTTCCTTTGCAGTTACACATACTTTTTCAGTTTTTTAATACTATAAATATAATATGGAAGCACATAAAAAATCTCTCTAAAGACAGCAGGAGCATTTTGTGCACGCCATGTTTGGTGTGATTAATGCTTCTTTTGTTATTGGGGTTTGTCTTCCAAAAGCCAAAGAGACAGGCTTTTCTTTTCCTTTTTGTAATAAATTCTTTGTTTCCGGTATGCTGGGCACAGAGCGGCAGAGAGCTGCGCTGTGTCTTGTTGCTTTCACTATACCACACAACGATTCGGATGAGAACTAATTCTCTAAATCACTGTTAATACTGGGCTTTGCACCGAAGGGCATGTTTGGTTAGACTGGGATAATGGATTGTTTTAAATGAGACTCCCACACTGGAGCCCTCTTAAATGGAGATTTAGGAGTAATGGGTAGGTTCTGAGCAGGAACCATGATGAAGAAATGATAGAGCTCGCAAAGTCACAGAGAGGCCACAGCTGCCAAGACTCAAACAAGCCTTGAATGGATCAGCAAGAGTCTGAAAACATCCATTTCTCCTTAAGTGTAAGGGTGGGTTAGCAAAGGGCTCTAGACTAGGTGTCTCCTCCAATCCTCCAATCCTACAGAAGGCAGCTCCCATGACTTTCTTAATTATCATATTTTTATATTTGATTACCAATTAAGCAATTAAAGAATGTGGGTGGGGGGAAACGGCCTGTATATTATGGACACGAAAAGAAGCAGGATTAAGCGCAACAATATTTTACTCTCCAAATAGCTTCATCATCATTTATACAGTAAGTGTATGAATTAAATAGCAGTATAATCTAGGAGCCTTTTTTACTTCTGCTTGTAGTGGGCAATCACTGTGTTTTAGATTGTTTTGTAGGCAAGTGAGAGTTATGTTATTCCAACGTGGAAAAAAACAAATCTGGGAATGCACATTTTTGAATTTCATGTGACCCATCATATGTGAACATCCCTCTACCTGTGCTTATCTTATGCAGATATTGACGAGTGCAGCATTAACCACGGGGGCTGTAAATTCGGCTGCATGAACACTTTGGGAAGCTATGAGTGTACCTGTCCCCCTGGCTACAAACTTCATTGGAACAAGAAGGATTGCATCGGTAAGTAGGAAACACTGACATCTGGTGGTCAGAACTATGAATCGCAGCTAGTCTTGTCTAAATAAGGAGAGTATGTGCTTCCCTATAGTGCATCTATAAAAAAACATTAACATTAACAAAAAACATTTACTATGTCTAACATTTGAAATTTATTTTTTTTGCTATGCATAAATACAGACTATTATTTAAGTAGACAATACAGCGCATGAAGCAGCTTGTAATTGCTGTGCGTTTAGCTTTCGTTAGTTTGGTTAATAGGGCAGTTTAAACCAGGACACATGTCCAGGCTTTTACTGTAAGCACCTCTAATAATTTACTTGGCATAGATTTAAAAATGCAGAAGTAAAGTCTGTGCTGTAACTTATTGGCGTGTGCTTGTGTTTATTTTCCTGGCTGTCTGCATTTGTGTTTATCTGTGTCTGTGTGTACATGAGGGCATATATCTGTGAGTGTGTATTTCAGAGCTGGTGAAGTGCGTGTCCAGCTGGGTCTCTCCCAAGGCCAGCCTGACCTGCAGCAAAACTGGCAAGAAAGAGAGCTGCTCCCTCACCTGTTCCTCCAAAGCTCACTATCTGGCAGGTAGGCCGTAGAAACTCGCAGGCACAGTGGCCTTGGGCCTCCCTAGCTGCTGTGAAAGGCTGGGCCATTGACCTCTGAAATTAACACCTTTCTGCCATGTGTAGTTGTAAAAAGGTTGGACAAATCCCCTCATGACGGTTAACCCTGTATCTTAAAACTCAATTATGTGTTTAGTAATATGACTCAGTTTTAGTAATAGCAATAAACAAGTGGGGAATATGCTTGAGGAAGTCACAGAGGAAATCTTCACATGTATTTGCAATTCTGTGTGTCTGGAGTGGCTGATGCCCTTGTTTCTTGTGGTTTCATTGCAGAATCTGATAACAGTTATACAGTGAGCTGTGGGATTCCTATCCTCCGTGGCAAAAGTACCCCCAAAGCGAACAGCAGCAACTCACAGAGCTGTATAGGTAACCCCCCATTTCAGTGCTAAACGGATAACAAGCCACAGTTTCTGCATTTATTTCTCTTGTCCAGCCCTCGACACATGCTGCATAACAGCCATATCATTTTTTTATTCACTGTTTTTTAATCCTGCAACTCCAGTTGCTGCTGAAGACAGGCTAAATATTTCAAATTGCTTTGATCTTTCTTGATGCTTTGTCTCTTGCTCTTCTTATTCATCCTGAAAATAAACGTCATCAGTAAAATTCAGTCATGAAAGTTTTGATGCATTCCTATTATTCTCCTTCATTAAAATGGCTGGCTCAGTCTATTAGACACACCAGTATTTCTCCTATTAAGATACAGGCAGCCAAAGATTACATTTTGTTTCGTGCTATTATTTTATTTCTTTAGATAACTCCGCTTCAGCTCTCCATGTTCTAACTTTATTTTGATCATTCTCAAAGTCTCTTTTATTCTTTTGAATTATGTACCCTGAGCATCATGATTTCTGCCCACTATCACTATTTCCTTTCGTGGGCAGGAAGACCTCCCCCCATTTTCAGGAAATCTGCAGAATGATTTCTTGAAAATCACAACAGACTGGTGTATCTTTCCAGGTTATACTAAATGACTGGTCATTTATACATAAAAATATATAATTTATATATATATATTATAAAGATATTTATGTATATTATTCTTTATTTGCAATAGTCTGAATTTCATTCCCACTCAGATGTCTCCCTGAACTCTATCATAGCCAGTATTATTTGGAAGGGCATGTGGCCAAGGGTTTGATTGATGACCTTTCAGCACCCAAAAGCTTATGGTGGTTTGGCTTTATCTACATTTAAATATTATTATTGGGCATTTCAGTGAAGAGTGTTTAGGACTTGGCATAGATTATACCCCTTAGACTTTAGGTTCTTTTATTTTCTGTCCCAAGAGGAAGGACTGCATCCTTCCAAATGGGGCATCTAACAGCTTTGGACATATTGGACGGGTGGAAAATAGGCAGCCACCTTCATGGAATGACCCCGTAATTTATCTTCCAAAAGTCGACTAAAAAATCTTTTCTATGATTCACTTTTTTGTTGCTGTCTTTTTGTGAACTCTCCTTTCCTTTTTCTTTGGCTGATACTATATTCTAATTATTGTGTACCAATTCAAAAGAGAATAAGAAACATTTTGACACCAGAGATCACTGAAGTAATTGCAAATCAGAAATGTTGTTCGGGTTATGACGCAGGTGAACATTTTTAATGAAATCACAGGATCGGGTAACATTTTCCTTGCACTGTGCTGAAGTTTGTTATTCTGATTATCATCAATTCCTGTATTTTTTGTCCTGACACTTAGGGAAATGATTGTGATTAAGGGAAGCTGAAGCAGAGTAAGCGTATGGGGTCACTGTGGTATCAGAGAGGTGAGGGTAAAGGGAGAGAGAACTGGTCCTGCTGTGTCAGGTTAACACCACACACTGCTCTGTTTGTCTGTAGAGACTCTGGCTCCACCAGTGAAGCACAAAGCCTCTTTCAAGATCAAAGACGCCAAGTGTCACCTGCACCCCAAACTGAAGGGCCGCCAGGAAGAGGGTGGGCGCCAGCAGGGGCCAGGTGAGACATGATGGGCGTGAGCATGTGAGGGACTGTGTGTACAGGTCTACACACTCACTCCCTTCATAAAACGTCTCAGAAGAGAGATGTGAGGAATATGTTGCTCACTCTCAAAGTGAAAGAAATCTGTACCACAGGGGGCATATTACTACAAAATAATGAATGCTTACAGCCTTGCTGTGTTAAACAGCCCTGAATTAGTGTGGTGCTCCTCTGCACCTACAGTATAATTATAACCCTACTGCATTATATCTGTGTAAGGCCTTACATGACACACAAAGCCACATTTCCAGACACAGATGGGTTTGTGTCTGTTCTGTTTTAAACTTGCTGATGTGAAGCAGCTGCTTTTTTTTCATATGCCAGGGCTCTGTATCCCGTTGTCACTGAAACCCAGGGTTCAGCTATAGATTTCACACTGTTTTGGAGTTGTGGAGGAATTGTAGTGATTCCGTATTTAAAAATATGTCCACCAGCAGCGGCAGCAGGCTCCAGAATCAAAGGTCATCACTGTCTTGCAAAGCCAATTTCAAGGCCAGCCTCACACACTGAACCCCCCACCCCAACTCCCCCTGCATGCCTCTCAGTGTCTATGTCCGCTTTTCCCCAGGGAGTGGGCAGCCCTGCAGCGACTGCTTCGTCACCTTCGTCAACCTGAAGTGCGACTCCTCCAAGAAAGCAAAGGGCCGCCGTACCCGCAACCCCCCCAACAAGGAGGTGACCAGGATCACGCTGGAGCTGGAAGCAGAGATCAAGCCCGGTGACGTCACAGGTGAGGAGACACCGAGCGGACCGGAAACATGCTGCAAACGTCTCAGCAAAGAGACCCGGCATGGTATCTGCTAGGCAGGGCATAGTCCTGCCTCTCACCCTGTGTTTCCAGGAAGGGCTCCAGGGTGCTGTCCTAACCAGGAGTAACCAGGCATTCTGAAAATAAAATAAAGAACCAATCACTGTCTGTCCTAGAGCTTCAAATGGTTAACAAATTCCATAGCTGGCCCACCTCTCCTTAATCCAAGAAACAACTTTTCTTTTCTTTCTTAACTGTTTTTGCTTTGTTACAGGAAGGCTTACAAGGTGGATCGTCACAGTGATGTTTTTTGTAACCTGTATTCTGGTGGAAGTGTCTTGCGGTTCAAAGCATTGATCCCTGTCCAATAAGGGAAAGCATTGTCTTTTGGAGAATAGTCATCTTGTGCCTAAGTGTTAGGAGACAAATGTTTTCCTAATCTTGTTATTGATCAGGTTGAAGGATGTTCTTTATTGATTATTTAATGCTACACAGATTACCCTGAAATCAAAGAGGATGTAATCAATACCATTGGAAACAGGGTGAATAAGGAGAATGGGTTATTGTGATGTTGATGTGCACCCATGTCTTTATGTGTCCCCCGGCTCAGATATAATCTGCCTGTGCCCCTGCATTTCCACAGGAAACTGCAATCTGAACTGCCTAAGACAACGTATGGAGAAGCAGGTGAAGTCCTACATCAAGACCCTGAAGAAATCCATCAACCAGGAACGCTTCCTGATCCGTGTGGCTGGTCTGGATTATGAGGTGGCCCAAAAGCTGGCGGGAGCCACCGAGAAGCAGGAGAACTGTGGACCGGGTCGGGAGAGAGAGAGTGGGCGCTGTGGTAAGGAAGGGGCTGACGGCAGCATCTCCGACTGAGAGACACAGCCATGGAGCTTAGAAGTGTTGAAAAGCAAACATAGACAGTAAACAGTTTATTTTGTATCTTAACACACTTACCACACTTAGTGACAGAACAGGCACCATATATGTGTGTCAAACAATTGCTCATACTGTATTGATATGGTCTATCTGAGGAGTATATAAGGAGACTATATGGGAAAGACACGTAAAATGCAGATTAAATTCCATTTATTTTAAAATAAGTTCTTTACAGTAAATTAGCCTAAAAAAAGAGGACTGAATGAGAAGCTTTGTCATTTAAAAAACATGCTTCTGTATCTGTCACACTGCACAAAGTCTCTGACTCATGTCTTTGCTGCTTTTTCAGTCAGATGTGTGCCCGGGTCCTACTACCATGGGGAGCAGGAACGATGCCTTCCGTGCCCACCAGGCACCTTCCAAGAGAAGGAGGGGCAGCTGGCCTGTGACCTCTGCCCTGGAAGTGAAGGCCATGGACCTTCTGGTGCTCGAAATATAACATCCTGTGCAGGTATGTCCAGAGTACTCTTGCAGCCTTTCTCCAGATGTCTCATTTCTCAAATGACTAGGGTTTTTCTGTCACAAAGCAAAATCCGACTAAACAGTTGTTGTGTTTTAACAAACCAAGTACTGTCATACTTATGTAAATGAGCACAACACAACAGAGTGTTTCATCAAAAGCCTAATATTTTTCCCATTTTTATATTTAATATGTCACAGCTGTGTATATGCATTCTCACATTCTTTACCAATGTATTTGTATATATAATCTAATAATAATAAACCATTATTAATGGTGATATTATCAGCTTTAAGCTTGATTTAATCAGATCTCAAAAGCTAAGCAGCAGCGAATCCTTATCTATACTGGGATGGGAGACCTGTAAGGAAAACTGGGATGATCCTGTAAATGTTGTTAGTGGAATAGTAGGGGGCTCTCTTTCCCCTGGACCAGAATTTACAGAACCAGTGCCCCAGTGATAAGGAGTTCTGTGCTGTAGGAGACAGTGTCCACTGGGTAAGACATTGAAACCACAGTCCTGATTAGGGTCATTAAAGACCCCGTCACCCCATGTAAGAGCATAGATATAAACTATGATGCTCTGGCGAAATTCTACTCTTACCTTGCACAATCTGGCCTCCTTAAAGTTATCCCTTAATGTATTTAGTGAAGTAATTTCACACTTCTCTACATGATCTGCTGTGTAGCAGGGCTGCTGTGCATCATCTACGTTAGTGCTGTACTGCAGAGGTGGATTATTTAAAGGGCTTTGTAATCTTTTGGGATGAAAAGCAAGGAATTATTATTATAATAATCAAATGTGTGATGATAATTCCTGGAAGATATTGTATATCTTACTCGATAAATATGCTTTAACATAAACAAAGCTGAAGTACAGTAGGTAGCTGAGTCAGTATGGGTAGGCTAGAAGAAACAGGTTTCATTCCATGCTGATAGCAAAAGTAATGAAACACAACATTTCGCCTGTGGAGCCTTCTTCGGGTGGTACATTTTTTTTTCTTTCATTTGTTTTCCTCTCAACATGGAATAAATCTTTACCTGTTTCATTACATAAATGAACCTAATGTAGAACCGGTATACCCCAGTTATATTCTATATTTTGAGCAAGTAATAATGTAGCTCTGTTCCTTCTTTCTGCTGTGCTCAGGTCAGTGCCCCACAGGGCATTACTCCACCGACGGGTTCAAGCCCTGTCAGCCGTGCCCACATGGAACCTACCAGCCAGACACAGGCCGGACCTTGTGCTTCCCCTGTGGCGGGGGGTTGAGCACCAAGTGGGAGGGTGCCAGTTCCTTCCACGACTGCGAGGCCAAAGGTGAGCTAGCCTTCTCCCTAGAGAACCCCATTCAGGGTTCGCAAAGGTGGTGCTACAGGCCGCGTGCTTGAGGTTATATTTCCCAGAGATAACACTAGGCCAAACTAAAGTACGTTTTTTTCTTTAAATAGGGAGCCGCCATCTAGAACCAGAAATATTTTTACACTTTACACTTCTTCAGTGGCTTCAGCATAAAACTAAAAAAACGTGTTTCAAACCCTAGCCCTAACCCTCTTCCTAAGGACAGCTGATTTATGTTTCTGTTATGATATTTGTTGTACCCCAGACATAGCCCCATTTCAGTGTATAACTATGAGTTCTGCTAGGCCATTATAGTGCAGAATGTTATGTTCCTCACCTATTCTTTGGCCTTACTAATCCATGTCCTGTCTCTGTTCTCTGCAGTTCAGTGTTCTCCTGGTCACTACTACAATACTACAGTCCATCGATGCATTCGTTGCCCAGTAGGCACGTATCAGCCAGACTTCCGCCAGAACTACTGTATCTCCTGCCCTGGCAACACCACCACAGACTTTGACGGCGCCACCACTGTCTCCCAGTGCAAGAGTAAGGCCCTTCAGACATGCCTCGCCCTTCTCTGACTCCGTCTGAGTTCTCACAGTGGAATATCTAAACTTGTCCTGTCTGTCATGTGTGCGTTCTTGTACATGTTTGTGTTCACAATACAGACCGGGAGTGTGGTGGCGAACTGGGCGAGTACACTGGCTATATCGAGTCACCCAATTACCCGGGCAACTACCCTGCCAATGTGGAGTGCACTTGGAACATCAACCCCCCACCCAAGCGCAAGATCCTCATTGTGGTGCCCGAGATCTTCCTGCCCTCCGAGGACGAATGTGGGGACGTGCTGGTGATGCGCAAAAACTGTGAGTTCAGCCTCTCTGCCTTTCTGGTAGCCCTCAGTCACACCACAATATCGCCTCAACACGATGCGGTAGCATGTCAGTAATGAAACAGCTATGCTAAACAAGGACTAGAACACCACGAAATAAGCTGATTTATATGCAGTACTAGAATATGTCAAAAGGAAGTTGACAGCTAATGTAAAGTGGCAAAAAAAAGTTTAATTAGAAGGAGTTCTTGTTGCTTGATAGCTTTTTTGTTTAGATCACTGCACTGTTAAATATTATCCCTAAAACATGGTAGAATTGCCCCACTTTTACAAAATACATTTCAATCCATTGTTAAAATATCAGCTTTTTGCATGACTGTGTACCTCTGGCCCCGCTTGTTACACGAGAGCGGATAGTTTTTTTTTAGCTCCATTGTTGTGTGTTTTACATATTGTTTGTCACAGCTGCTCATTTTAAATAGCAAGGTTCTGTATCTGTAGTTCTTCTTGAATGTGTTTATTTGTTGTGTTGGTGTTGAAGCTTAATGTCGTCCGCGATTTGTAACATAACAAAATGTCCTGAACAATTTCTAATTAAGGCATTACTAATGAGCATTACTGACGTCGTACACACTGCTTCTGTCTCCCTCTTTTGCCCATTATCCTCCAGCCTCTCCAACCTCCATCACCACCTACGAGACGTGTCAGACATACGAGCGTCCCATTGCCTTCACGGCGCGCTCTCGCCGCCTCTGGATCAACTTCAAATCCAACGAGGCCAACAGTGCCCGGGGCTTCCAGATCCCCTATGTCACGTACGATGGTAAAGGCCTAGCACAGTGTTCACGACACCCAGCGGTGTGCACAGCACCCAACAGTGTTCACACACCCTACAGTGTTCACAGCACCAAACGGTGTTCAAAACACCCAACGGTATTCAAGCGTTCACAACTCCTGACAGTGTTCACAACACCCAACAGTGTTCACAGCACCTAACATCGTTCACAACACCCAACGGTGTTCATAACACCCAACAGTGTTCACAGCACCTAGCAGTGTTCACAACGTCCAACGGTGTTCACAAAACCCAATGGTGTTCACAACACCCTACAGTGTTCAGAGCACCCAACAGTGTTCAAAACACCCAACAGTGTTCTAAGCACCCAACAGTGTTCAAGTAGTCACAACTCCTAACAGTGTTCACAGCATCCAACAGTGTTCACAGCATCCAACAGTGTTCACAGCGTCCAACAGTGTTCACAACTTGTAACAATGTTCACAGCACCAAACAGAGTTCACAGACAGTCATCTAAAGAAGCATGTGAACACCGTCCCATAAGAAACATTTCAGAACCAAGCCAAAGGTAGTATTCACAATGGTGAATGTCTCTGTTGGAGATATGTTAGATGTCGTGGAGATCTTTAGCAAACTATGAATATAGGTACACTTCTTAAAACATAGCTTTCTACCATAAGTCATGCCTGAACATACAGTAGGGTGCACCTAAAGGCTAGCACGTCATGGGAAATTACATCATACATAGGAACTGCTGTCTATAAATGAAGGAGCAGAAGTGTAGAGTTAGCAGTACCAATATTTTTCCTCTGCTGTTGACCTTTCTGACCTTTAACAAATCCCTGTACTGCTTTGGGCAATAGTATTCACGTAATATCAAAATGTTTACATTGTTCCTTTGTACATATTTGTCAATGCCATTATAACATGAATACTAATACAGTAATGTGTCCAGCACGTTTTGAAGCATATTTATTTTGCCATGTGAACAATCATATATATTTTATTTGCCCCATACCTCCCCTACTTACTCTTTGATCCCACACTGCAGTGTTTAGAAGCAGTAAAATGTATTGTTCACAAAATATATGCCTTGAAAAAATCCTGTTCTACGGTATGCTGAAATGTCCGAATATCTGTAGGCTTAACCCTGACAGACAAGTCTGAAAGCAACCATAGGTTAGAGGCTGATGTGTTTTGTACTGGATTCACACTGTGTGTGCCTAATACTGTATCTGCACTCTGTTTTGCAGAGGACTATGAACAGCTGGTGGAGGACATTGTGAGAGATGGCAGGCTGTATGCGTCTGAAAACCACCAAGAGATCCTGAAGGTGAGGCCCTGTGTCTGCAGTCATCTGGATCTTTCCTTTTGGGCTTTTTTAAACCCTAATTTTGGGATGTCTCAAAACTAATCCAAAACCTCTCATCCTTACATTAGATAGTGGAATTGGGAAAGGTTTTTTAATGTATCATGTTAAACAGTTTGAAAGTTTCAAAACAAGTATATTGGGATATTCCAGACCAGTGTGGATCCACTCAGGTTGATGTTCAATTGGCATGCGTCAGCTGCAAAGGAACACGTAGTGGTGAATTCCATGATAAAAAAACAGAAAGGAGCAACACAACATTTGGGCTGTAGAGAATCCCGAAAAAGGATTTACACCCCAAATTGTGCATCTCTCCTTTCTGTTTTCAACACGGAATTATTTGTTCCTTTGAACTGGCTGATGCAGCTGAGCTTTCATTTTCAATCTGAGTTGCCGGCTCCTAGCCTGACATCACTGGTCTTTGATGATGCAAATGCATTTTGTTTTCTACAGCCCCACCCCATAAAATGTGAAAGAGCAGGGCACAGTTTACGCTTTGCAAACCTGACCTAAAAAACAGTTGAACTCTGTCGGTGTGCCGGTCTCTTGACGTGAGCTTGCTGTTATCCTTGGCAGGATAAGAAGCTGATTAAAACCCTGTTTGATGTGCTGGCTCACCCAAACCACTACTTCAACTACACCACCCGGGAGTCCAAGGAGATGCTTCCACGATCCTTCATCCGCCTGCTCAGCAGCAAAGTCTCGGCCTTCCTCAGACCATACAAGTAGCCCCAGGGCCAGCGAGCCAGCTACATAGCCCGCAGCAGCAACAAGATGACAAAGAGACTCTCTTTTTATGGCTTTTAAAACATACGTCACTATGCAGATTTTCATTTTTTTCGGCTTTTGTTTCTACCGGCGGATGTCACCCACCGAGCTGACTCCAGTCTTCTCATTGAGTCAGACCAGATTTTGGTTTGATTGGCTCTTCCCCCCTCCATCTTTATTTATCGCCACTTGTTGTTGTGTCCATTTTTTGTTTGTCTGAAGTCCCGTGAAAGACGTTCGCAAAACCCTGTGCTTTAGCTGCAGCGAGAACTGTCTCCATCACAGCTGCTTCCTTTCAAGGTGAAAGAACATCCTTATTAGAACAATAAGGAACTTTTACATACTTAAAATGAATTGAAATTTTCACCGGATGTGTGAAAGTGGTAAAGTGCTTTCTTGTTGGACTCTTATGTAGTCTCCTTTTCCTAAAATGGGACTTGAGCTCTGGTATCTCTTATTGTTTTGTACATCTTAACTATGTTCAGAGCATTACTATATTCAGGCTCTTAGAGCAATGCTTCTTAAGGTCTTGCTGTTAAAACAGTTTGATTTCTTATCTTTTTATGTCCGTTTCTTGTTGGATTGTATTAGTTTGTGTTGCTTCCTTTTAAACTGTTCTTATATTCCAAGTTAAATAGCTTCTCCAAACAGAAACCTCTATTTTCAGCACACATTTAGTGCTTCCAAAAAACACAGTATAGGAAACCTAGAGAAACCCGAGTCTGTGATCACAATGTTTTTTAATGTGCTTCACATTAAAAACGGTCCCTTAACAGAGACGGAAAAAAAAATGTTCCTGGGACATCAGGTGCTCACTTCAATGGTCACTTTAAAACTTGGTTTTGATTCGAACCCTTGAATATTTAAGGGTTTCCCCCCAGAAGGAGCTACTTTTGTTGGAAAAAAAAAATGGATCTGATAGAAAAGAGAGAATTGAAAAACGTGACCGAAGACAATATATGAAAGGAGCAGTTAAGGCATACTATAGCAAGTATTCAAAACTGGCAAGTTATTCAGATAATGTTAGGCCTCATTTAAGTCACAGCTGTGACCCTGAGATCTTGATTCATTGTTGTAATTAACTGACTGTGATGAAGTTTGAGCCCAGGTTTTCCAGGTGGCCCACCCCAAATGAATACCCTTTCACCCAAAGAAGCCAAGTCCTCTGCTGATACCCTTCTCCCCCTCTAACTCTGTCCCACCAAAATCAGCTCTTCCAAAGACTGCCTCAGTGGCAAGATTATCCTTTTTTATTTTATGCACTAGATCTAGACCCACCATCCTACCTTTGTTGTAAAAGTGCAATGATTTTAGTCTTCTTTTGTTGTTCTTTTGTATACAGCAAGGGAAGAACAATATTTATACCTGCCAAAACTGTACAATGGAATGTCTTTTTTATTTTTTTAAAGAATATATTCTTACGTTACTTTTGAAATACAGCGACTGGCACTTGGGTTGTATTTAAAAACAAAACAGGATCTAAACGTTTTCATGTCCCTTAAAAATGGATGTCATTTTAATTTAAATAGTAATATACATGTATATATCTAAAGAACATCCTTGCGGATGAACAACTTTACAGGTCTTAAAACAAAGTTCTTCACATTATTGAAACTTCCTAGTGGTGCATATATACTGTTAATACACATAGTGTGCAAGTTTATTAGAACGCCCCAGTACTTCTGTAAACATTCATTTGCTGTGAATGTGAAACCACTCTTTTTTTAAAACCCTGGTAAATTGTCAAAATAGAAAAATTAGGTTAACAAATTTAATTTATGTCCATATGCCACACATATCAGATCATTTTAAAATGTTTAGAGAAAACTAATACATAGACTTTAACATAGCAAAATAGTAAAAAAGACTGCTTTGAAGTTTGGTTTTGATTATCTTCACAAAATAGGTGGACAGCAGTCAGTACTATTACCAGTCATACTATTTGTAGTATCGTATCCCAGGAAAAATGCTGATTAGGTAGAATTTCATATGCCAGTAAGATGACTTCAAATAAACCTCCAATAAAACCTTAACTTGGATTTAGTTGTTATGCTGCTTCAGGTTAGATAGGTTTATGAAAATGTCATGTACAGTACTTTTTTGGGTACAAAGCTCTATAATTCAAGAACCCTATTAAATGTGCACATCACTGCACAATATTTCTACAAATAGAATAATCTTCTGTCAGTTGGTACAAGTTTAGCAGTAATTGCATTAAAAAATGAACAAATCGCATGGTTTTCATACTACAAGAACACATTTCCAGGTGTTCCACTGCACCTTCATGACCAGAGACGCATCATGAGGACAGTAGAGCCCAGGCTGCCATCGCTGTTTTCTTGAATGTTATGAAAGAAGCCAAGCTGCATCAGTTCTCTTGAGTCTCATATTTATATCGGCTTTTTTTCGTTATTCCGTTTCTGCATATCACTGTTCAACCACCCTCTTCCTCCTCTTCCTTTCCCAGCGCATCAGCCTGAACACAAACACACACTCATTTTTGTTTTATTGCCTTTTTTTAAAAAAAAAAATAAGAGTTTGCTATGATGATGTATCATAGAGTTGATAATGGTATTTGCACTTGAAAATTGTTATTGCTCATGTAAAAAATGATGTCTGGATTTTGTATTGTCTTTTTTAATGAATGGAATTTGGTGTTCTTACGTGTTTACAAGCTCTTGCGTCTTTCTTTACTGAAACCCGTGGGTCTCAATGTAGCAAAACTAAAGAAATCAGATCTTATATTTCTGGTCATCTTCGTGATCCTACGGTGCCTTCAGTAATACGCAGACAAGACCAAACCTGAGCTCATCTTTTTACAGTTTCTTTGCACACTTGCATTTTGGAGATTGAATAATTGACAAAAGAGCTACAGCACACTTGCACATACATATATCAGCATACTCTATTGTAAATGAAGAAAAAGACAAACAGGAAGGCAATGCCACATCATATACACCAACGGATAGAGCTTCCTATTCTCACTGTCCAGGAACGTCATGGCTTTGAACAAACAATTCAGTAGAAGCACACATCTTCTTCCAGGCAACTACACATCAGACAGCGAGCCAGCGGGGCTTGAATTCAAGCGGTGCTAAACTTGGGTAGCTCTGCACTCTTCCCACCTCTGTCATTTAAGAAGAATCACACCTGCTTCTATTTTTCATATTAAAGAAACTTGTTTCGAGATCAGAAACAGCCCGACCTGATGAAGACACCTCAAATCACTGTCAGCACCAGCCATGCACATGTATTCAAGAAG